GCTCAACTACCTTCATGACTATGTTTATCCTACAGAGTTTGGAATATGTGCCAGGATCACTCAGTGGGAGGTAGTGGTTATGACCAGGTCAGTTATAGTCAGGTTAAGCTGGAATCCTATACCTTATAAGAGACACAAGTTCACAGACACAAATGAGAGTGCCACATGTGACAGAGGCGGAGCCTGCAGTGCTGCAGCTGCTAGCCAAAGAATGCCAAGGACTGGCATACAACCACCAGAAGCTCAGGAGATAGGGAAGAATTCTCCCTGACAAATTCCAAGGGAGTGCAGACCTGCTGACACTGATTTTGGATTTCTAGCTTTCACAACAGTCAGACAATAAATTTCCATGTTTAAATCACCCAGCTTGTGGTACTTTGTTGTAGGAGCCCCAGGAAACAAATAGCATAAGTATACTGGAGGGAGACTCAATAAAGGGAGTCTTTACAATGATGTGGGAGAGTATACAAAGAAACCATAGGGAGGTACAGGACGGATAAGAAATTCAATGGCAAAGGAATACCCATCTCTGACAAAACTAAACAAAAAAAGGCGATAGAAATGAAGGACCATTTTGTATCTGTATATACAAAATAGATTAGATATACAGCTACTTTCTCTTAATGCAATGAGAAGTAAGATTTGTACTAATAGTGTTTGGACAGGATATTATGTCTGCATCTTGTACTGTGAATAACCACTACGAAGACAACAATATGCAATGTATTAATTATTGAAACTGGTTTACTAATCAGTTTTAAAACTGTCTCATTGCTATTTGTTTCTTAATAAAATTAATAAAAAAGAAAAGAAAAGAAAGGAATAAAGTCTTCTAGGCCGGAATAGCAAAGTAGGGAGCAGTTACCAGAATCTGGAAGAAGAAAGTCACAGGGAGAGAAGCCACCTACACAGACAATGGCCTTGGGCCAAGTGCTCTGTCAACCACAAAGAGGAATAAATGACCTAACTGCAGTTCTCCCACCTGCTGAGACTCCCTAGGCAGTCAACCTGAAGTCATTCTGACAAGTTAGCCTTCTTAGGGGTAAGTGATGGCTGAAGAAGGGGTGGGCTGGGTAGGAATGAAACATACGTTGCACATTTTTTTGCAGCCACGTTCATTTTCCTAAGCACCACTGATCCTTTTTTTTTTTTTTTAAACCGTCACTGAAGTGTTACATATACATTTTTAGTTTCTTATCTGTTCAGCTAATTATTATCCTACCAGAATACCCTCTATGACGAGTCCTATGGCAAGGACTTCCTTTTGTTCACTACTATTTCACTACCAAGAACAATTTGGTAGAATGAATAAGTTGTTTGAAGCCTGACATTTTCATGCTGGGGCTGTTCGTACATACTCTATGCCTCCAAGGCTTCACGTGTTGAAATTTAGTCCCCACTCTGAGGTATTATTAAAAGGATGGAAACTTTTAATCTATAATGGTATTTAGAGATAGGGTTTTGGGGAGGTGATCAGGAATTGATAAGGTCATCATGATTGAGTATTTGTGACTTTCTGAGAGACTCCCTATCTCTTGCCACATGATGCTTTCAATACTTCAGACTCTATTAGTAAAAGCAATCACCAGTTGAAGCCCCTAAACCTTTCACCTCCAGAGCCATGAGGCAAAATAAACCCCTTTTCTTTATAAATTTACCCAGCCTGATATTCCATTATAGTAATGGAGCTAAACACATCTTGCTTTCTGGGCCAGCTGCTGCTGCCTATCTTCTTACTCATCCTCTTCCCTGAACTATTTGACTGATTTCTGAAGATACAAGCAAAATTGTTTGGCTTGTTACCAAGCATTTGGTCACGGACTCCCTCCCATCACTTTGTCTTGCTTAATAACTATGATGGGAGGTGTGACACACTGGAACAAGCACCACACTTTGGTGGCTTTTCTTATGGGAAATGGAGAGTTCTTGTTCTCTAGCACAAGAACTGTGAGGCTCTAAGCTAAGGCAATTACATCTTACAAGGACTCATACAGTCTTACCCAAAATCAAAAATAAGTGTTGCCTTTCTAAAAAGTAAAACAAAACATACACAAACCAATTTTATTTTAACATTATACCATACTTTAAAAAATATTGGGTGAAGTCCGCATCTTGTACAGCAATTAACCACTAAGAAGAATATATGCAGTGTATTATTTGTTGAAACTGTCCTTCCGATATGATTTGAAACTGTCTCATTGCTATCTATTTGTCAATAAAACTTTGAGAAAAAAAAAAAAAGAAAAAGAAAAAAAAATATTGGGTGAACATATTTTACTGCAACTATTTTGGGGACTATGTTCTTGTATATCTCTCAAAGCATGCCCTCGAAGGGGACATGGAGTCCTGGACCCTTCCTATCTCTTTGCTCCCCATTCCTCATGAGGTGAGCAGCTCTTCCACCATGCTCTCCTGCCATGATATACTGCCAAGCCACAGCCCAAAGCAATCTGGACAAGCAACCAGGAGCCATGGTAAATCTTTATTCCTTGTATGTCAGGTATTTTGACAGAAGTCTAACGCAAGCAATAAGCACAGATGTGGCATTAACAGTTTATGGTTTAAAAAGCCCACTCCAGCTACAAAGGACATAGGAGGGAGTTAGAAAGTGAAAGACCACTTGCAAAGGTGAAGGACGATGATTTAGTCTATGGTTGTAGAAGCAGAAATTGTGAAAAGTGGCTGATTTGGGGATAGAGATTGGAAAATAAAACTGACAGGACGTGCCACTATACTGGATGTAGTGGTTCAGCAGGGTGAAGTGAGGAAAGGTAGTGGGACTTAGGGACAAAGACACAGCTTTGGCCTGAGTATGTGGGCAGATGGTGATGCCATCCAGTAAGATGGGGGAAATTAGAACAGCAGTTTGCAGGGGAAGGAGGTCTGTGGGAAAGTCACCTGTTCCATCGGGTCATGTTATTTTTTCAAAGGCTTGCCACACTTCAAATGAAAACATTGGTTAGGCAGTGCGTTAGTAACTTTCCTCGCTGCTGAGACCAAAATACCCAACACCAACAAGTGAAAGGAGGAAAGCTTTATTTCAGCTTAGTTTGCAGAGGTTTCAGCCCACAAGGGGCTACCTCCAAGACAAAGGTTCATGGCAGACAGGCAGCTCAGAGAACAGTTCAGTGGGACAGGCAGAAGGAAGCAAACAGAAAGCCTTCTGTTCCATTTTATCTGACCCAGATTACAAGACTTTCGGATTGTATCACTCATACCCAGGGAAAGCCTTCCCACTAGCCACACCAGATCAATGCTAAACCAGTCAGTGACTAATTTAATCATCAAAACTAATCCATATCACACACCCTTAATCCATAGTCACACACCCAAGATCCAGCCACCTCTGAGAGCCCATCTATGAGCACACAAGACTTTGGGGGTAGATCTAGACACAAGCCTTAACAGGTAGTTAGCTCATTTATACCTAAGGGGAGAGGTCTAGATAGCAGGTATCTCAAAATAAGGGCCAAGATGAGATCATCTATGATTAAAACTAAAAATACAGGAAGGTAAAGAATTAGATATCCAATCATGGTATGGAGAAGATATGTGAAGAAAATGCCTGCTGACTGGGGAGGGAAGTGAGTCAGGGAAAGGCTTATGAAGGAGTTAACTTCCAACCTTCTAAATTCATGGAAGACCAAGTAGTACAGTAAGAATGCTGGCCTAGGGAGACATCTGCAGTTGGGCATACAGATAATGATTTGACTGTGTTTACACTTCAAGTCAAATATGTTATTAAGAGGCCCTAGCAAAACCGGCTCGTTTTTCTGGTTGAGTTCAAACTCTGGCTCTACCACATACCAGCTGGGTGACTCCACACACCTTACTCAATGTTTCTATACTTCAGTTTCCTCCCTGCAAATGAGGGAGGAAAAGCTAGCCAAAAGCTAACCACTTAGGGACTGTTCACTATGCTTCTGGTACTAAGATTTTATATACATTATTCCACTCCCCTTTGTGGAAGACAAATCAGCTGAGTGACATTATTACCTCCATTTTACAAGGAAATGGAAGTACATTGCACTGACATTTACTGTGTACCTGCAATATGCCAGGCACGTTTCTTGGAGGCTATCTACAAACAACATGAAATCCATTCCTTTGGGCAGCTGCAGCCTGTAGTTTAAAGAAAACGATGATAAATATAATACGTTAAATATATATATACATATACATGCATATATATATATATATATATATGATATGGCAATTAGACAATAAATTCTATAGAAAGCACACCGCAGGCTAACGAAACTAAGATGCTGCGATTTTAGAGTAGCCAGGGTAGACGTCCCTCAAAAGGCGACATTTGAGCAAAGATTAATTAAGAGGGGAGCCTGAGCTGCAAGCGTAAAGCAAAGGCCTTGCGGAGCACGTAGGCCAACCAGCGTCTGCAAGAGGGCAAGGTGAAGCGGTGACAAGGTCCAGGCTGAACTATGACTTTTCTTCCTAGTCATAGAAGTGAGCAAGAGGCCACTGGACAGCTCTGGCCAGGGCAATGACATAACTTGACCTCCGTTTCAAATCTGTTCTTCTGTTTAGGCCCAAGGTCCCCAGGCCAGCGAGAACAGAAAACAAACGAAGGCAGGCCCGCGCTGCAGTCGGTGCCCAGGATCAAGGAATCGGCCGGCGACTACGGTTACTGCGAGCCCTTCGCTCACTCTCCGCCCCATCCAGCGCCCTCCAGCTCTCCCGCTCCAGGCTCTGCACGCACTCACTCGGGTCTCCACGTAGCTCCCCGCGAGATACAGATTGCGCAACACGCGCAGCTCGCCGGAGTCTGGACGTGGGCAGGGAGGCCGCGGGCGGAGAATGAGGCCGGCAGCAGACCCTACCAAACCTCCCCGAGCGCGGCCGACGCCAGCGTGTGCGCCTGCGCACGTCTCATCCGCGCCGCTGACATTCCAGAGCCTCCCGGCGCCCCGCCCCCAACTCCGGGCCGGCGTTACCACGCGCGCCTGCGCACAGCCTCGCCGCACCCTGCGCTTGCGCGCTCGCAAGCCCGGCCCCAACCCCCAGGTTTTTCTGGTGGGGGAGGGGGTAAGTCTCGGCGAGTCACGATGATGGCGGCCACCATCCTATAGTGAGGTAGCGGGTTCTCTGCCGGTCTCGCGGAGGCCCCCTCTATCCCTCCCGAGGGCTCAGCGGCTGGCGCGTGCGGAAGTACAGCGGCCTGAGCCCCGCGGGAAGGCCGCAGTCGCGAGCGTAGCGGCGCGGCCCGGAGCGCGGGCTGGGGGACAGGCCGCTCCGTGGGGCGAATGTGACAAGCCCCCGCCCCCACCGCCTTCCTCCCGAGAGCGCGAGGAGCGCGGGCGACCCCGGGGCCGGCCCGGCCACAGACCCCGCCCAGCGGCCCGCACCCGGCGCAGGCCCGGCAGCGGAGCTGAAGCGGCGCCATGCAGGTCACCCTGAAGACCCTCCAGCAGCAGACTTTCAAGATCGACATCGACCCGGAGGAGACGGTATGCAGGGCTGGGGCGGGCGCGTGCGGGAGAGTCGGGGGTCGGTTGGGCCTGGACCTGGGGCCGGCGCGCTGGCCGCGGCCCGCAGCGTCTGGGGATTCCGGAGGGCTCGGGTGCGGGACCCCGAGGCGTTTGGGCCCCGCGGTGAGCAGCGGGTCGGCTCCCTCGAGTCGCCACGGGCTCGTGGCCGGAGAATGGGTGAGCAGTGGCTGAGCCCCGAAGGCCGGGAGGCAGGTGGCGTGGGAGCGCACGCCCGCAGGCGCTGGGGCCTTGGCCCGGAGCGCGTGGTGCTGGGGCCGGAGGGGGAGGGGAGGCTGGGCCGCCGGGCCGCGGAGCCTGGCTTTCGGGGGTGGTGCACAGGTGGGGGAGGGAGGTGCAGGCGTCGCCACCGCTTCTCCGAGGACCTGATTAGGCGTTAAGGTCTAGGGGTTGGTAATCCGAGATGATGAGCCTTAATGAAAAGTATCAGGTTCTGTCTGCAGCCTAGGGAGAGATGAGTGGTGGGGGAAATGAATTATCTGCCCCCGTACTCTTAGAATTGTTACCCCTTGTTTGCGTTTGTCTCGAATGTTTTAAGATGGTCCTGCAGCCTCCGAACGCACAACCACACGTAAGTTACACCCCGAGGTCTCTGGTGATGAAGGTTTTGCTTTAGAGTCCTTAAAAAATCCAGATGCAAATTCAGCCCGACTTAGTGGGTTCTCTGTTTTGGAAGTGTGCACCTTCCCCCGACTCCCCAGTAACTCTTCTAAGGAGAAAAAAATACAGAGATTTTACATTTCGTCCGCTTTTAGTGTTAAACACTTCCCAAAATGTATCTGATAAATTCTAATCCTTTTTTTTTTTTTTTTTTTTTGTCTTCCTGACTGTAAAAAGAAACTAGTTGACGAAAACACAACTTTATACCGAGAATTTAGAAGATGCCTTGAGTGTCAGCTTATTCTATGCTTTGGAATTATGGTACTGTATACCGTTAAGATTTGAGCAGTGCTACATTTGAACCAAAAACTTACTGCCCATCTGTATTTTTAAAAATAATTGATTTCTGTTTTGAGTGCAGTTCAGTAATTTTGGTGTTAAACTTGACCTCAGTTCCTCTTGTAGCTCTGTGACTTGATTTACTCAGACTTGAGCAAGTTAATCAGTGGCTACCCTTAGAGTGAAAATGCAGTGTTGTTTTACTCTTCTGGTTTAAGCTAAAGTTTTCTACATCTTTAATTGCTTGAGAAATAGAGAATTTCAACCCTTTTGGGCAGTTTGATATTAAAACATTAAATCATTACTAGATATACACTAAATAAATTTTTTTGGCCCTTATTTTACCAATGTAGTAAATTTTTAAAGATAAAGAAGATACACGTTTTGTATGAGAAACTTTTTGATTTTCTCAGAAGTAACACCTTGTGCACTGATACTCCTAATAGAATCGATTTTGGCCTTTGTTTGCTTAGTGTGTTCTTGTAGGTTGAAGAATGAAAGTTAAAATGCAATTGTCTTAATGATTTTAGACAGAACGACATAAAATGCATCATTTATGTTGGTTCTTTGTGGTGGTAAATATTGGTCTCAAGGTTACTTTATTAGCTTTTAATATTCAAAATTCCAAAATTGTGGAAACTAAAAGAATACTTTGTGTAAATGTGTGGGTTTATTGAAGTTACGCATACATGGAACTGGAATGTTTATGCTCTGTAAGATTTGTATAGTTCTTCAGTTTATACATTATCTTACAGCCAATATTTTATTTGTATAAATTCTTAACTACACTTAACTGTTTTTCACTTTATTTTCAGAAAATGTAGTAAGTATTACATATTTTCATTAAGCTCAGTGGCTTCTTCAACTCTCTGTTAACCACTTATGTAAATATAATTTGTTATAGTGTCAGTAACAAAAATGTAAAAAAAAAAAAAAAACCTGTAAAAATATTTTTCAAGCCATTATCTTTTTTTTTTTTTTTTTTTTTTTTTTGGTGGGGAGGATGTTGGGTTTTTTTGTGGTGGTATGGATTGAGCCAGGATCTTGTGCAGACCAGCAGAGTGCTCTGGCTGCACTTCACCGCTTGAGTTTTGATTAATATATATTTATACAGTACTTTAGAATTCCATTAGTAAAAGAAACAATGAAAATAATGTGTGAGTCTTAAGTGTGCTGTTTCTAATTTGTAGTGATACTGTGTAACCAGGGAGTTTAGCAATAGATGTAAAATAAGGAATAGATAAGATGCTAAGATTGCTGCTTTATATTCTGTATGCAGTATTTGTTAGTCATCATTTATGAATGATTTGTTAGTGTTTATTGTATTTTCCATATATTCATGCTAGATATAGTGCCTTGTAATAGAATTTTTTTCATTTTTAAAGTACTAAATAGCAAATACATTAAAATATCATACAACAGAGGTGAAATTAAGGGTTCTTTGAATATTAGTAAAAGAAATACAGGAGAAACTGGGAAATTGCCATGGTTTCTGTTAGACTTTTATGGAGGGTTTTGGTGGAAAGGGTGCTAAGGATTGAACCCAGGATTCCACTGAGCTGTATCTCCAACCCTTTTTTTTTTTTTTTTTAATGTATTTAGTACAGAGTCTACAGGGTCTCACTATGTCAGTCGGACTTGTAGTGATTCTTCTATTTTCAACCTCCCAAGCACTGCGATTATTGGTGTGCAACACTATGCCCAGACACAATCCTGAGGGTGGGCAGTCGAACCCTGGCCTCTGCACTCTGCCTAAACAGGTGCTTTAGTCTGCTGAGCCATCTATCCGGCCCTGCTCCAGCCCTTTTTATTACTTATTTTGAGACAGTGTCTTGCTAAAATTAGTGAAGTGAAGCTCAAATTTGTGGCCCTCCTCCCACAGCTTCCCAGTTGTGCTTACAGGCAAGCTCTCCTGTGCCTGACTTCTGCTAGCCTATTGCCCTTTAGTTGCCTAGAATGCGGTGGACATTTAATAAAGATCTTTCTAGTGCATCGTGTATACATTCTTTGGTGAACATCCTTCAGTGTAATGTGCTCGTACGTTGAATAATTTTAACAAATTATTTCTTTAGTACTTATTAGATAACCAGATTATTTTTCACTCATTTCTGGTACAAAATGTGCAACACCCAAAATTAAGGAAGGAAAGTTTTATTTATCTCATGGTTGGGGGAGATTTCATCCTATAATCAGCTGGCACCAAGGCAGAGTGGCACATGGAAGAAGGCAGCACTTTATGGGGACAGAAAACAGCATAATAGCAAGAGCGAAAGGGGAGGAGCAGAGGCTATCCCCTCTTCCTTTCTAATATTGCATTCAGGCTAACTGCCCCAGGGAGGGTGTCATACTCTACCCACAATCCCGGCAGCATTTATACCCATAATGCCAGCATTGGATCATAAATTAATCACAGGTTCTAGAATGCTGCCCCAAGACAGCGTGAGGTTTTGTGGGGACAACTTAGACACAAACCGTAACAACTATCATTGTTCATACATTTTAGTGTGCTAAGACCAAAAAAGTTAGGTAGTGGTATATGGTACATGGAAAACTGAATAGGACAAGATGATGTGGTAGTGCTTGACTAGGGTGATACTTTTTTTTTTTAATTTTTTTTATTTTAGGGATGAGTCTGCAAGGTGTTCAGGGTCTCACTGCTTACTAGATCGAGCTTGTAGTGAACCGCCTGTTTACAGCCTTCTAAGAGCTGGGATTACAGACATGTGCAACCACACCCAGTCTCAATGGCTGTCTCAGTGTGCCCTGGGGGCACAGCCAGCACTGGCAGAGCAGGCTCAAGGATCGAACCCTGACCCCTGTGCCTCCTTGCAGGTGCTTTAATCCACTGAGCTATTTGACTGGACCCTGGGATGCTACTTTTAAGTTGACTAACAGAAGTTCTTTTTTAATAAGGTGACATTTAAGTCAAGATTTGAATAATGAGCTCTCATATAGATGAGTGTTTTCTGGAAGAATCTAGTAAGGCAAAGACCTCTAACAATGTGTGTTGGGAATCAAACAAGGACTTCAGTGACTGAGATGAATGGGGAAGAGATTATAAACAAGTGGCCAAACCTCGTAGGGTGCTATGAATTAGGGGTTTTCCAGGTAAAAATGGGAAGCCTTTGTAAGCAAGGGAGAAATATTTCATTTGTGGATCTTGGTTTGTTTTTTTGTTTGTTTGTTTGTTTTTAGGTTATTTTGGTGGTATGGAGAATGGATAGTAGGGTGGACAGAAAGAAATATAAGGAGACCAGTTAGAGTTATGAGACTTGTGTAATAGTTTTAAACAATTACAACTTTGACCAGGGTGGTGAGTATGGAGGTAGAATTAGGATTTAAGGGCTGGGGAGATGGCTCAGTAGAATAAGTGCTTGCCTGGCAAGAGCATGGGCGTGGGCCTGAGTTCAATCCCCGGTTTGGCCAAAAAGAAAAAGAAAAAAGGATTTAAGAGGTAAGAGGGGGTTTATTTATTTATTTATTTATGATAGATTGAAATAAGAGGAATTGAGTCAAATATTACACCTGCAATTTGGTTATGCAAATTCTGTAGAATACTTGGGTTCTTACATGGATAGTGAAGAAGGAGCAATATGAATGATGGGGGTGGGTTAAGTTTAAGATGTTTACTAAACATTCAGGTGGAGGTGATACATGTTGTGGGTCTGGATTACACAGAAGTTAGGGATGGAGATAGTGACCTGGAAAGAGCTGTATTGGTGATTATAATTCCTGGGACTAGATGAGATCTCTAGTAGTTATTTCAATTCCTAGTCCTCTGGTGTAACTTTAGGATTGAGGCAGGGGCAGGAAGGTACAATGAAAATTTGGTCTTTTAAACACTTGTTTTCCCTTAAATTAAATAATCTGGGTTGGCTATAGTAAATACAATTTTTTTAAAAAGTGAAAAGCATGCCTCTAGTTAACTAACCACTGTAAACTTTATTGTTCAAGTCCTTTTAAAAAGATATATATGTCTAGGGCTGGGAAGATAGCTCAATAGAATAAATGCCTGCCTGGCA